CTAAGCCAACGGCAGCTCTCGCCAAAGAATATTATTTTTCGGTAAAATATCACTCACTGCTCAATAAGACCGATGACTTTATTTTGATATTTTGAACAACTGTTGTTTCATAGCTAAGATTCTTCTCACTGACAACGTATCAGCCGCGTACTTCTTATGTTTCCCCATTTTGCGCTTACAAAACCTGTACAATTTCAAAAAAAAAAAAAAAAGAAACCGTCCAAGCTGATCTATTCCGGCGGTCACTGCCTCTGACGCTCTCTACCTTAATAAATTCGTCCACTTCAGAGCATAAAGTCACAGCAATTCACTGGCGATGAGCTGCATTCTACTTAAGTCTAGCAAACATTGTCTCTCATGACTGTTTGGGGGAAACCACAAAATCGCATGTTTGAAGTGGAAAGAAGGCTACTCCTATCGTATGAAGCTCACGAACTCAAAGAACTGACTCGGACTCTCGTGTGGAATCAGGGGAAATACGCCTTTTTCCTCCCACATTTTACCATTTGGGGCTTAATGGAACATTCAAAAAATCATACCATTCCAATAGGTGAGACAAACGGACTGCTATCTGCAGGAAATTCTTCAATAAAGTCACTGCCACATCGCGCACAAATAAAATCCTGAAATTTTCTTCCCTCAATTCTACAAAACATATGCTTGCTAAATAACCAACAGTTGAAGTGTCAGAATTTCTGCCCAGGGAAATGAGAAGAGCAGTAAAATGAATGACAAAATCATCTGAAAAGTAATCATCGAAAGCTGGATTTCCAGTGAAAACCATCACGAAAAACCCTCATCAACAGCACCAGTGGTATGAAGATGCACTACAGTTAAACGATAGCACATCATAAATTTAAAAAATCACATCATAATTTAAAATTGGTATAAAATGAAAATCAAAACAAAACAGAAAGATTTTTTTTGAATAAATGCAAAAAATGGCAAGTGTCTATTCGATGAGTGTATCTTTTTAATGAATAAATGCATTTGCTGTGTTGAATTACACTAAAAAAAGTGAAATTTTTGAGGAAACAAAAAAAGCTTACCCCATCTCTTAGCGGTACTCCCCTTTGACAATGGTGACAATAAAATGTTGACGTAGACATTTGGATGAAATGCCGGAAACTGATACCCGAACAGATTCTCGTACAACGATCCCAAAATTCCTGAAATTCGATTAAAGCAGTGATTTCTGAGGAACAGAGACAAAGGACGTCATCGCGTAGAAATCACAAAAATTCACCGAAGCCGGCGCAGATACAGATACAACGTAAAGCTCTATTAAAGTAGTGAGGGAAAATTTATGAAACCACAGCAAAACCAGTTTTTACGCATTTCCTGAATACAACTGAATAGTCTAAAGTGGTAATGGAG